TTTCTTTTGACAAAGCGGTCAAATTAACGAAAACGTTCCTGTAAATAGTAAAATAAAAAATTCGTCAGTAGTTTTTTAACGAAAAAATACCATAACTAAACGAATTTTTGTTCAAAATCTATGAAACTTTACATAGTATAATTTCGAGATATGCTCTACAAACGTAATTAATGCGCAGTAATAGGTTTAGAATCAGAATAATTAATCCGCCATATAGTACCATGACCCTTTTTTTCAAAAATCGTATATTCGTATACGAAAGCAGAACGTAATCGTTAATATCTCAACGAATATTTGACCAAATATTCTGAAATTTTACATACTAATAGATGAATACTTACTTTACAAAAGTCTATTAATCGTCAAAATACGTTAGATAATGAAAAAACGTCTCCACGATTATTCAAAATCTGACTATCGAAGACAAAATTCATGTACGAAAACGTAAATCGTGATTAATCGATTTACTACGATAAAAAAAACGAAACTCCGAAAATGTAATTTTCGGAAAAGAAGAAAGTAACCGTCGGCAGATAATCCGAAACATCCAATAAGATTGCTAGATTTACTATTAAAATCGAATCACGTGATGATTCAAATGTCACCGTCGGCAGATTTTTAGTCACCGTCGGCATTTTTTCCTAAAAATCGTGACTTTTAGCCAATGAAATTGTCTATAAAATGTAGATCATCCATAATTAGCCAATCGGAGATCTTTATTCTGGTACCCAATTGATGAAATGTAACCCTCTAAATGAGAAATTATAGGGGTATCTAAATATGGTAATAATTTTAACTAGTATGATTACGTAACACTTTTGTAATCATACTAGTTAAAATTCACAAACTTATAATACGTAAATAATCAAATAAAACTAAGATTGGTTTGATTTGAGTTAGGGTTGGTCTGATTATTGTTAGCGTTGGTAAATTGTTAACAAAATGGCTATTGAAGAATTTATAGAACTGATTCAAATGCCACACTAATTTGAAAAATGCAAAAATATATAAGAGCTAAATTATTTCATATGTTGATATCATAATTATAATAAAAAAAAAAATAGATGGTTAGTAAATGTAAATTAAACATGTTTTTATAAAAGCTAATTACTTACATTTTATATTTTAAAAATAAAGCTGAAAACCTAACTTGCTTGTTTAATAAACTTGTTGAATCTTATAAATACACGAAACAATTGGCTGAATATGAAACTAAGGAAACCCAAAGAATTCGTAATACATCTACCGAGTTGATTAAAAACCGAATTCAATTATTTGAACCATTTTTTTCTGAATTAAGTGATCTTAAAAATGAGTTACAAAAATATATAATTTGCGAAAAATACTATAATCAAATCATTGCAAAAGATAACTATTTGGACTTTTTAAATAGTAAAATATCTGATTATCCTCGAAAAAGAAGTCGTAATTCAAATAATAATAGCACTATTTTAAGCAATACTCTAGAACCTTCAACTGTTGATATCAGAATTCAAGTAACAATAGATAGTGATTTAACACAAATAAATACCTTAAAAGCTTTTTTGGCTAATCTTGTAACAGATCATTCTAAACAATTACAAGTTATTTAAGCTAAAAATAATAGAATTTCAGAATTAGAACATGAATGTGAGTATCTTAAAAAACAAATCGCAGAACTTAGTTCTAAGTTAGAAGTTTTAAATTTATATCAAAATCGAGTTGAAATATTAAAAATTGAAAAAAATAAATTAGAAAATGAAAATATATACTTAAATAAACAATGGAATGAATAATATAATACTCAACAAAAACGTATAATAGAAATTGCCAAAATTGCTTCTTTAGAATGGAAATTTTTATATGATGATATTGTTGATTTAATTAATAATCAAAGTCGATTTTCTTTAGAAAATTTATTAGCATTTGATCCTTCTAATTGGCTTAAATATCATAATCCTGTAATATTAAAATTTATTGAAACACTTACCAATAATGATGATGAACGATTATATCAAAATAAAAGTTTTAAGCGTGTAACTGCTATAGACGCAATTTATAGACCATGATATAGCAGATATGTTTCTGAAATAAATCTTGCTACATCTGCTATTAAATATTCTATTGTTCGATCAAAGCTTATAATAGATATTGATAACCATATTACTAATGAAGGAGGCTATACAAAATTCATAAATTGGATTGAAAGTTTAGCAATTGAACCTAAACCTTTGCCTGATGGATTTTTAATGTTGGCCTTTAATAATGAACAAAAAGGTCAAAAAAATTATTTAGATCAGGGTCACAACACAGTTATATATCATACTGTAACTAGTTTTGTAGTTCTTAATTTTGATTCAAATAATAATAACCAATTAGAAATTAATCTACGAAAATGTGATTTGCTTAGTGAAAATGATATTAATCAATTATTTTATTTAAATAATAATATAAAAAAAAGCCCAAAGAAGAACTTCAATATTTCATTAATGAAATAATAAATAATTTACTTGCAGAAAAATGTCAAGAAACAAATGAAATTGACAAACTTGTTGAAAAGCAAAATAATATAACTAATAAATTAAAAAAATATTTACAATATTTTATATAAAACATTGATAACAAAAAGCGAAATTGCTCTAATTGCAACACCAAATTACCAACACTTACTTCAATAAATCAAGCTTCGTCTAATTAAGCTTCATCTTTTCAACAACCGTTAGTATCAGAAGATACAAATAAAACAATAATATTTAAGCCTTATGAATTTAAAGAACTAAGCAAATCTAGTATTAAAGTACAAAAACCTAGAATTAGTATAACACAAAAAACTATAGCAAATCAAAATATAAAGATTCCAGAATTATACGTTCCTGATCCAATTCCTGTTAATCCTAATTCTTTGGCAAATATTCGAAAAGTTTTAAAATATATTGAAATAATTGCTGGAATTAAGTCCGGAAAGCATAAATAGATACCTGTTGTATGTGATAGTGTACCATATAACCAAGCATTAAAGTTAAGAAAAGACTTTCCATAGTTAATTTTACTTCCGGGTGCTCTACATGAAGAGATGAATATGCTTAAAGCATTTGTTAAACTAAACTAGTAAAGACTAATTTTTAAATATATATTATTATTTTTTACTTACGCTTAACTTTTTAATTTTAAGGGAAATAGATATAAAAACATTTGCTCGATGCCAAGAATATCGAACGGATAAGCAGTTAGAATTTTTTCGTAAATATACTAATCACCATAAATCGTGGGACTCAATATGTAATATCTACTGCTATTCTATAGCATCAGAGTTAATTTGGCCATATATTTTAAACCATAACAATCCAACTCCTAACGGATATTTGGAATAGGCCAAAAATCAAACTGACGAAACATATAAATTAAAATTTAAACAGGTTAAATATTATTTTAATTTTAATTGTAATATAAAAATACAAAGATACTAAAATATAATTAATAATATAGTGATAATAGATTTTTACTTATCTTCAGGCTATTATTGACTTTCGTACTAGAGTTCGAACTAATCAACCATTATTGCGTAATGCAGCTAGATGTCAATTTGCACCAATTTGGTCATCTAGATGTCATCCAATTTACAAAATGCTCGAAATATCATATGAAGAAAATTTATTATATTTGAAGCCTCATATTCATAAAATTATTGAAAATTTCTCAGTTGTATCTCATTCTGGACTTCATAATCAACATCAGGGACTTGATGCTGTTGTAGAAGAAATCAATAAAACATTAAAGTCATTAATTCCTCTAGTACTATCACAACATCATTGGAAAATTGCTATCAGAAATTATACAAATTTTACAAAGGTAATTCAGAAAATCTGCTTACTTTAAAAAAAATTCAACTATTCTAATTCAGAATTAGGCTATCCAACTTTGGGAAGCTTAAGAATAAGTATATAATATTAATATTACTGGTAAATTTAAAAGATTTGGCATGTTAAATGGCACAATTCGAATATCACTCAAATTGCGATTCGAATATTACTCAAATTGCCATTCAAATCGTACCATTTAACATGCCAAATCTTTTAAATTTTGCAAGTGTATTTGCATACTATAAAGTGCTAACTGATGTATTCAGGTATACAAGGACTTGCTATATATTTTCATTCAATTTTATCATTTTCAATATATTATACCAACTAGATGTTCTCTAAAAAAGTATAAGAATACTATTTTTTGATATAATATATATAGTATCTAAACATAATCAAATTGTAATTTCAAACTGTCTATGAATACCAATTATAGAAGAATCGATAAGTCAGCACTTTATAGTAATTCTGGTATATTAATTATATATTCTTGAGCTAAGTAATTGGTTAAGAACCTTAAAGTCAGATAACCTAATTATAAATCAGAACTGTCAGATTTTAAGTTCAGCAGGTTCTAATTTAGATATAGTATGTATATATTATTTAAATTAAATTAATTTTAATATAATGCTTAACAAAAAATTTAGTTGCGTACCAACCTGTTTAATGTTATTAGATATGAGGATAATGAAAGTTTAGGACAACATGCTCGACCTGATTCTTATGTAGAACAACAACGCTTTCATACGTATTTAAAGAAGAAACAGTTCTTTAGTCTAAAAAAAATGAACAGTATATTAACTAATTTAGATAGAGACATTAACTTGAGTGAGGAAATAAAATCATTTAGTGCACTTGTACAAGAAAAAAGGCAAATGTTTATTCGAAATACCTTATTACAGCCAACTGGTACTAATGTCTGGCACCCGATTCCAGTAACAGAACAGGAGGCTGATGCAATGAAAAATGAAAATACAATGAAAAAAGAAAAACTCATTGCAATAATTAATTCAATACTTATCTCACTTCCTGATTCACAATGTACGAAGTATACTAATTTAAGAAACAAAACAAAGGCTGGGCTTCTAACAATATTACAAGAAATACGAGACTTAAATAGTGCTGAAGAAACTATTGATGAAGAAAATATTATTAATGAGCATATTAATGAAAATTAAGAAGTTAATAAAATCACATCATGCGTAGTTATAATGAATTCTTACTGCTATGTTGTAAGCAAGACCACAGTTACTAAATGGTAATTACTGTGACAGATTAAAATGAAATGAGTGATAGTGTCAAATAGACAAGCCACCAAAAAATACAAATTTTTGAGATACAATTTTTTAGCATTTTTTTAGAGGATTAGTGTTTAGGGATAGAATTTATAATAAACAAGTTTTAGGGGTCAAATAGAAATCCCTCATTTCATTTTAATCCGATTTCATTATGATCTGTGACAATTACTAACATTGTTTAAAGCAAAAGCTAAATTTGGTTCTTGTTATTATTTATTT